CAGCACAACAACACAACAACATAACACCACAACAACACAGCACAACAACACAAAACACAACACAAAACAGCAACACAACACAACAACACAACACAGCAGAACGCTCCTACAACACACTGCTCACTCCTCATAATGATTTTATAATGAAGAGCGGTCAAAACCCACACTGTCAGAATCCAGACGAGGCGGTGTCAGGGGATCAGCTAACCAGTCAGGCGATTCATTTGTGTTTCGGACGTCACCTGTCACATGACTTCTTCCACACCAAAGCAGGCTCTGAAGCAGTGTTCCCATGTATCGAAGCTTTTGATTTATACTGCCAACACTTCCATCAGGACGTGTTTACTTCCAGACACTCACAATAGGTCCAAATAGTCCCAGGACTGGTTTCAGATCTGACCCAATCAGAACCACAGTCTGGTGTCTGACCCAGTCCTGGTCCTATTAGAACTTTAAATAACTCTGAGTGCAAATATTTTATTCACATTTAGTTTTTAGAACTTCTCAGAGTTTCTACTTAGACCGAATCATTAAAAATGAACTGATGACAAATAGCCTCCAAGTGCATTCTGGGTAATGTAGGCTCAGCTCCAACACGTCAGGGTGATTTAAATCTGAAGCCACCACAGACACAGAAAGATTGACAATAAAACCTGTTTGTTGTTTTCACACAGACCTGACAAGAATCAGCTGTTGGGTCAGAACCACAGAATAAATCAGAATCAGCCTGTCAGACCGACCTCTGGGATTAGTTACCACACAGAGTTACCATCAGATACAAGCAGTACTCTGAGTCCGGGTCTCTGAGTCCAGGACTGACGTGTTAGCTGGGACCTTGTGCAATGTAAAGATAAGTGACCTTTGACCCACAGACCCACCCCCAGCAGCTCCTTACCTTACAGTAGGGATTATAATTCCGGGCCATTGTGGGTCTTCAACAGAACCTCTGATCCAGAACAAAGTTCTGCATTCGGGTGTCTGTCAGGTCTCAGACCTGTCTGAGCACACCTATGATTCTTACATCAGAGTCCCCTCCCAAACCGCTCCTGCTGCTGGTATGAGCGGTTCACCTGTGACTACACCCACTCTAGGTATTATACAATACAATACAACTTTATTTGTAAAGCACTTTAAAACAACACTGTTGGCCGAAGTGCTGATTATCAGGCTGCCTACGCTGAGACCTGAGTGTTTAAAGACAAACAAGACGAGACCTGAAACACGGGCAGGTTCCCCTGAAGAGGAACCGTATACAGCTGAGGATGGACCATGATCATTTAGGATGGACAATGTTCCTCAGAGGATGGACCACCAGAGTTTTGACTACTCTCAGGAACATCATGACTTTCCTCTGAAGCAAACAGCTTCCAGCTCAAAGACTACTCATGACCCATGTCTCTGAAGGAATAATGACTTTCTGAAAACAGAACAGAGAAATATGTTAAACACATCATAATATTTCACATGATTTCATTATAATGATTGAAAACAACAATCAAAATGATTCATGTTCACACTTGTTAATCAAATAAAACAAACTTCAATAATGATTTGTTTTTCTTTCTTTAAAACATAGGAAGAATAAGATAAACATTAGTCAGACTGTAGCTGACTCTGTCCAAGGACAGGAAATGTGTGGAAGAACATCAGACAATATTTAGGTCAAATGTAACTTTAAAGAGCACGATTCATGGTGAATCTGGAAGATGAATAAGGGTCAGGGGTCATAGTTAGAGCAGTGCAGCTTCATGCTACAATCCTTAATTTTCTCCTGTTGAACAGACAAGACTGAGGTTTTGGTTTTTGGACCTGAGCACCTTAGGAATGAATGTTTCAGTCTTTCTCCCTCCTTAGATGCATTAATCTGTCCTCCAGCTCTAATGTTAAAAATCTTGGTGTTATTTTTGATCAGGACATGTCTTT